TTATCATGTAGAAAAGAACACAAAACAGGTATTTTTAAAGTATTAAAAATACCTAAAATAACATATGTAAAAATATCTAAAATATTCTACGTTATTCTTAAAAAATGTTAAGTCACTTAAACTTCCTCTAAACTATTTTGTAAAGACAAAATGTCTAAAAGCACTTAAAGATATAAACATTAATGTATAGAATGGGTAAAAAAAAAAAAAAAATTTAAAAGTATCTAAAATACTATGTGTGTGAGTATTGAATGTGTAAAAAAAGTATCTAAACTATTATTTGAGTAAATAATAAGTATTACAATCTAATATCTCACGTTGAACTTTATGAAAGAATATTTACATAGTAGATATTGTCTATATGTCTTGTATACCGGTTTTATATTGTTTCTATCAAGTATCAACATTGTCTATATGTAATGTATCGCATGTTAAGTGATTTTGATTATATCTCTTTTATCATATTTTGTACCGATCCATCCATTAATTCTTATTTTTTTACCAATTTCATGTGTATATCTCGTAACGCATTTAGTATGAAATACATAATTTGGAGCATTTTCTTAGAAAGAATTATTATTCCTTGCATTGGAATAAAATACATAAACCTACATAGAAATTTCAGAAATTTTTATTTTGTTGAAAAATTTTCAAATGATGAAAAACTATAAAATAAAAATATAATTCTTTTAAAATTAATATGACATAAAATAATAAAATATTAATTTAAAATGATTGAAAATTAAAATATCATATGTGTAATAATATTATTTTAATTGTTAGGTTTGTAGTAATATTATTTGATATCCATTCACAATTTTATTGGCAAAAATTTAATTTTTTCTTCATAAATCTATTTAAACAAAAAATGAATAATCATTTATCTTCATTATTCATATACTAATTAATTAAGTAATTGATTTTAATTTCGTTAATCTTGCTTTATCTGCCGACAAATACTCAAATTATTCCCTAATCTAATGTGTTGCCTTTGTCATATCATGTATTATTATAGAAGCTTTGTGTTAATATCTTGCTTTTGGTCCAGTGCTAAGATTAGAAACAGAAGCACTTGACTGGAGTTTTTCCGGTTGATCTAATTTTCCTTGCTTTCTCCTTCACAATAAATTCTTCATGTTTTCGTTTCTCCTCATAGTAGTGTTTCAAGTTTCTTGATTTTCTCTGCTCAAGTTCTTCCTGCAATAACAATATAACAACTTGTAAATAAATCAATCTTGTGCCTCAACTTCCCTTTGTAAGAAATATATAATCTGTTGTTTCCTTGCAGCTTCCTTGCAATAGTAATGCAAATTCCTTGCAGCTGCAAAGCACTTTCATAGCAGCCATTATGGGCTGATTTTTCAGCTTAAGTAATTTCTAGGAAAGTCACTAGGTAGTTGTTTTTAGTTTTTATAAATAGGGATGCAGTTTTGTATTTGTAAACACACAGAAAAACTGAATACTCAATACATTGATTTGTTCAAAATCTTCTTCTTCTATCCTAAAAGTGTCCGCCTTGCCGAGAAGCATTTTCGCTTACCCGAACAGTGCAGCCCAGCTGCAAACAGAGCAGCCAAGCTGTGAACAAAAGCCGGCAGCAACGACCTAGGACTAACAAGTGGTATCAGAGCCATGGCAAGCCAAGATGTTGCGTCGACGGTGCAAGGGAGCGGTGCACACGCTTCACCACGCCAGGAGGTCATCATCCACAGGACCGTACGGGACGTTGGCGGGGCCAACTGGCCGGTCCTCACACGCACAAACTTTGGCGAGTGGGCGGTGCTGATGAAGGTCAAGTTGCGTGCGCGCAAGCTTTGGCGGGCCATCGAAGAAGGCACCGAGAATGAAGAAGAGGACTGCGCAGCGATGGAAGCGATTCTGTCCGTTGTTCCTCACGAGTACGTGGAGTCGCTGGGCACAAAGGACTCCGCAAAGGCTGCTTGGGACGCCCTCAAAGCCATGCGCATCGGGTCTGATCGCGCAAAGAAAGCGAAGGCGCAACAGCTGCGGCGGGAGTATGAGGCGCTGGCGTTCCGCGACGGCGAGGCAGTGGAGGATTTCTCGCTCCGTCTGTAGTCGCTCGTCAGTCACTTGGCGGCGCACGGCTATTTTCTCTCCCAGCTTGGAAAAATTTAAATTTGTTTTGTGGCTGTTCCTTAAGTTGCACATTTTCAAGCATTAATAAATTACACGTGCGGTGCATGTGGTGGTGAATGTTTTTTGCCGATTAAATTTAGTAAAATTAATTAATTAATTTTTTAAACATATTACTGTAGGAACAAAATAAAATGTAGAATAAATGAGTTCCTAATATTTTTTTTTTGTTTTTTTTCAAAATAATATAATGATGCCCTAACATAACATGAATGAAATAACATTACACAGCTCAAATAGAAATATATGTATGAATCTCTAATGAAAAATAAAACACTTAATAACTAAATAAGGACATAATTTATATAGTTCTTTTATTTATTTATGTTGGACGATTCAAAAGTAACTTTTTATTTCTTTTGGTTTTAACATTCTCATAAGAAACAGTCATACCCGTTGGAGTTCAATATATCAATAGTATTGCAAATTTTTCTTGAAAAAATATTTACTTTATTAAAACACTTAGAAATATCTTGGCTAAATATAAAATCAAATTTCATGATTGTATGATCTTTATAAGTTATTTCTACCAACAGTTTATGAATATTTCTGTGAAATAACCAATCGTGTCATTAAAATTGCTTTAGTTTTTT